GTAGTTAATGCTGCTCAATGTGAAAGCACGCAGGTGATGGAGATTTACCGCTGATTACAGAACCGGCTTCACTGATAAGATGCGCATTAAATATCGCATGCGATTTATCGTGCAGCCCTAGTTTTAGTTGTAACACACCAGTTGACAAACATTGCAATATCTTAAATAGTTTTTATTTGCATTTGCATGAATCATAAAAAATTTTAATGTGTTATTACAGCTCTATCATCTAAGACGGAGAAGACAACAGAAGACACTCTGCCTCAGAATAGATTCTCTGGCTGAAATCTGAGAAAACTGGTCCAGACTATACCAAACGCAAGCCATGGCTGCCATAATTACAGTAAAACTACAAAACTACTGAGATTCCTGCACTACAGCCCAACTTTTTCTCACCAGTTGTGATGGCCAACACTGTTGCTACTCTGGTGGTCCAAACTGAACTCTTACCTTCTCAGACATCCTCCTCCCGCTCTCCCTTTCCTTCCCTCCTCCCCTCCGTAGAGGATGGAGAGGAGGATGGAGAGAAGGGAGAAGAAGAGGGCAAAGAGTCAGGAACCGTCGGGCTCACAGGTGACATTGTGACATCGTCAACACCCCCTGTTGCAACAGTGGCTCAAAACCCAGAGCATCCATTCCAGTGTTTGGACTGTGGGAAGAGTTTTAAGTGGTCATCCAGACTGGCACATCATCAGAGAAGCCATAACAATGAGAGGCCATATCGCTGTAACCTTTGCCCTAAGGCCTTTAAAGGCTCATCTGCCCTACTATACCACCAGAGGTGAGAGGTCAACTGATTCTACATATGGGTTGACATGCACGGTCACAAAATCTTGAATATTGTGTATTGTATAATGTATAAAGATGTGATTCCTTGGTGACTTTTTTTTTGTTATGTTATATGCTGTTTACCACAAGTTCCTTAATAAAATTGCTTTGTGTGTTGTTTAAGGTCTCATTCTGGAGAGAAACCTTATAAGTGTGATGACTGTGGTAAAGCATTCAAACGCTCTTCTCTTCTGCAGGTGAGGCTGTCTTTATGATTCAGATTCAGATTTATAGGTTAATCTTCATATGAGTTCCACCTCAAAATAAAATGAAAGAATCAATTATCAATGTATTTATTAAAAAGAAAAGTGAATAGATAAGCCTAAATATATTTTCTATTTGACAAAAGTAGACATATTTAAAATGGTTTAATTCAGCTGTCCAGTGCTGAACTGTACTATCTATCTATCTATATATACATATACATATACAATACCTATTCAAAGTATTTTTAACTCCTTTGACAAATGGCTAAAGAAAAGCAATTAGTAAATGCTCCATAAAAATACCATTTATATGTTTCATTTAAAAATGATGCATCAGTTTTTTTCTTCTAATCTAGTTGCCTAATAAACCTGGCATAAACCTCTTTGTGCCATTTTTGTGGAAACTGATGTATTGTTTTAGGATTCTTTGATTAATAGAACAAAAGAACAGTGTTTATTTGAAATAGAATTAGTAATAATGTAACGTACTTTTTAGTTTAATTTACTTTTTAGTTTAGTTTTAGTTTAATAGAAACTTTAGTTTAGTAAAAGTTTTTGATACAATTGTAGCAACTTGATTTACCTACTGTCGCGATGGTTTTTATATCCAGATTCATCGCAGTGTGCATACAGGCCTTCGCACTTTCCAGTGCTCCTACTGCCCTCTGACCTTCAAATGGAGCTCACACTACCAGTATCACCTCCGCCAGCACACTGGTGAATGTCCGTACCCATGTGACAGCTGCTCCAAAGCCTTCAAGAACTCCAGCAGCCTGCGTCGCCATAAGAACGTACACCTGGGCTTCAAACCTTACATCTGTGATGTCTGCAGTAAAGCCTTCAGTCAGTCTACTAATCTGCGACAGCACATGCGCATTCATACGGGTGAACGTCCGTATGTCTGTGGGGATTGTGGGCGCAGCTTCACACATTCATCCAACTTGGCGCTGCATCGCATCTCTCACATAGAAGGAAAGGGAAGAAGTGCTGGGAAGCCTGGAGGGGCCAGTTCAGGGTCAGCAACTCGAGAGATGGAGGTGGTGCTGACAGAGGATTTGAACACTGTTGGGATGAGCATTTCTGAAATGGTTGGACTTGTGGGTGGACAGGAAGGAGGGGTCGGACAGGTGTTCCTGTCTCATGATACGTCCTCACCTGCTAACTCAGGTACAGCCAATCAGAATATCCTGCCACAGCTGACACTCACACCCACTTCCTCCGCTGTCACAGACACAGAGCATATCCACATGAGCAAGACCGACATAGGGGCTAGTGTTTTGCTATTTAGTTGTGGCAGCTGTAATGAGACATTTTCAACACAGAGTCACCTTGAGGAGCATCAGACTCTACATCTAGATAGCCTTGGCCCAGCAGGTGGTGGAGGGGTTGCTACAGAAAATAGCACAGAGGCTGAGGGAGGTGGAGTGTCACTGGTGGGGGCTACACCATTGTTGGCAGACTTTGAAGAGGTTGTTGAAACCACCACAATTGCAGATAGTGGGCAGACTTCAGAGTTACTTAGTCTGGATGCCGTTAGAAATGAGTCGGGGCAGGCACAGTATGATCTTCCGCAGACCTTCGCTGCGTCTGTGAACCAGATGTCCACTGATACCAGTGTGCCAACTGCACAAGCTACACCAGAATGTGCCTACTGTGGGAAGAGTTTCAAGACCAGCAGCGGACTGACCAGACACGTGGCTCAGGTGAGACCAAGAAACTCTTCTGGTGAACAGAGAATTTTAAGAAACAAACCTCCGTTTCTCATTATCTCTTTCTTTTCAAGGCCCATCCTCTTGCTCTATCTGAGTCACGTTCTCAGTTCAACTGCTCGGCATGTGACCGCTCCTTCCCTCTGCTCTCCTCTCTGCTCAACCACCAGCACTCCCACACTCCTGAGCAAAGGCTGCTTGCTGAGGCAGAGGCAGAAGCAGAGATCGTCTGCCCCTCTCTCTCACTGCCACTGCCCTCCTTAAAGAGAGGGGGAGAAGATGGAGAGAGAGAGATCCATGTCAGTCTGATTGCTGTTACTGAGGAGGGAGAGGGACGAGATGTGAAGCCATCTGCCAAAGCATCAGGAAAGGGAGCCAGGAGAGGTGGAGGTAGCAAGACATCTGCCACAAATAACGGTAAGAGTGCTACAGTGGATGCTAAACGATTTGTTTGGTTTATATTCAAAATCTGGCATCTCTGATTGTCAGGTTTCATTGTTCTTATTTATTATACTGTGTTATTATACTATGCTATTTATTGTCAAGCTTTTGATATATGAAGACCTTACATTACCTTACATGGTATAATAAACACCCATTTAAAACGAGACTTTTGCACACACAATGTAACTCACATATTCACCTCACGGCTGTATTTCTCTCTTCATTCCCTACAGAGAGGCCATATCGCTGCTCTGAATGTGGGAAGTCATTCAAAGGTTCATCAGGACTTAGGTACCACATGAGAGACCACACTGGGGAGAGACCGTATCGATGCACAGAGTGTGGCAAGAGCTTCAAAAGGTCCTCACTGCTCTCCATACACCAAAGGGTAAACACAGCTTCTTGTCAAATTGACATTTTGATTTGTTTTTGCGTAAGAGCAGTTTGAAAAAACTGATTCATTGCATTATTAAATCAATGTAATGTATTGCATTATTAAATCGATGTAATGTATTAACTTATTAATATTCATGGGCTGATCCAGTTCAGAAGTTCAGCTCACCAACTGCAGTAGTTAACAGCACACTAAAGGAAAGCTTACCAGTGACTTGTATTTCAGTTTGTATCTCGTACAAAGCTATGTGGCACATGAGTCATAACAACTGCACTCATAATACTTTATTATGCTTTTATGGTGCTTTTGTGAATGGAAAATGGCCAGTGCAGCTTTGTTTATGAATGACAGAATTTTAATATTTTGAATTTTAACATTTTATTCATTTTGTTCATGTTTTCTAAATTTGCTGTAAACCAAGATAATATTAAAACATCTTGAAAACTGTTCTCAACCCTTCTAGGTCCACACAGGTGTGCGGGCTTTTCAGTGCCCCTACTGTCCACTGACCTTTAAGTGGAGCTCACACTACCAGTACCATCTTCGCCAGCACACCGGTGAGCGGCCATATGTATGTCAGGAATGTGGCAAGTCTTTCAAGAACACCAGCTGTCTCCGTCGCCACAGTCAGCTCCATTCTGGCCTACGTCCACACACTTGCTCTGTGTGTGGTAAGGCTTTCTCTCAGACCTCCAACCTCAAACAGCATGAACGGACACACTCTGGAGAAAGGCCCTTTCAGTGCTCCCAGTGCCACAAGAGCTTCACCCACTCATCCAATCTGCAGCTGCACCTACGCACACACTCCTCACGCAAGGACTTCAAGTGCCAACACTGCGGAAAAGAGTTTGTCATGATCTCCTACCTGCAGAGGCACTTGAGAACTCACAGTTCTGGGGGTGCAGTAGCGTGTACGAAGGAAGCAGGAAAGGTGGCTAAAGGTAGTGGGGCTTCAGAGACAGCAACGCTAAATTTAAACTTGAATGTACCTGGAGGGCTTACCTCATTGTTTCCCACTGATAGCAATTCCACATTAATTCTTTCACCCCCAAATCTGGACATACCTCCAAACACATCACAGAACTATTTTATGATCCAGACGACTTCAGGGTTGCAACTGATCCCACTATCCAATCCCACGCCAACACAGCCAGCCCCTCCTCCTCCACCCCCACCCCCACAGCCACAGAATTTCCTGCTTCTTCAGTGCCAGTCCAACAATGGAAACCAGTGTAGTCTTATCCTGGTTCCTACAGCATCCAGTACAAACACTCTTCTGGCAGCACCCCAAACACAAATCCAGCAATTTCAACCAGTTCAGACACAGCAGAGATTTATTTTGACCAATAATAATGCTCCCCTCATTACTGCCCAGCCTCAAAGCACATCGACGATTGCTCGTCCCATTTTAGGCAGCCTCGGTCGCAGCAGGAAGGGAGGAACCAGGCATGGACGAAAGCCTAAAGCTGCTACCCAAAAATCCCCCCCTACAGTTCAAACCACACCAGTTAAGCAACCGTTAATGTTATCAGCTGCAACTTCCACATCTACCACAATATCCAGTGCCACTTCTGCTGCTTCTTTAAAGACAGAGTTCCCACAGCTTATTGCTGACAGTCCACCAGCTGTGTCACCTGTCAGCACTAGCCAAGTACCTGAAAGCTCTTCAGTTCCTGCAGTTAGCATCATGTCAACAAACAGTTCCCCCATGTTGAGCAGTGATCTTGAGAGTGTTCCAGTTGAAGAGAAAGCTGTCGAAGAAATCTCAAGGGAGCACTTTGTTCTGTGCCTAAAGAAAGAAATGGAGAATGGAGGACAGGGGGATGGGATGGAGGGAGGGAATGATGCTGGGCAGTCTTATGTCTTGCAGATTGAAGGTGAGGGCCAGCAAGAAGAGGGAGGGAATAGTGAGGGAGGAGAGAAGTCATATGTCCTACGGTTTCAGACAGAGGGAGAATGCGAAGGAGATGCAGGAAAAGAGAAGGCAGAAATGGTCTCTCTTAACTTACTCCAAGAGTGGACCGGACAGAGTGAGGGGCATGGAGCTGCAGATGCTGAGGGAAGTGTTGAAGTAGAAAAGTCATTTGTGCTTCATTTCCAAACAGAGCCTCAGAGTGAGGAGGACATTCAGCCAAGCTCAGGCTTCATAGGAGGTCCAGGTGAGGATCTCAGCCTTTCTTGCCATCCAGGTCAAGCCTTGGTGCCTCTGGAAGGGCAGGATGTGGTTTTTGAGCTCGGTGATGAGACAAAAATAGATGGAAGCACAGGTCCAGGGGACAGTGTTCAAATGATTGCACTGATAGATGGCGAGGGCAGTGGTTCTGGAGCAAGGGGCAGTTTTAAAGGTGCTGTTGGGGCAAACTCTGGCCAAATGGAGGGAATCTTCCAGTTAGAGGGTGGAGAAGGCATTGTTATAATTGAAGTTAGCACCAGCAGTTTGAGAGAAGGTGGAATAGAGGCAGCTGATGTAGGACATACTTTAGCGGAAGGAACTGAGGACATGCATGCTAATGGTGCACGAGAGGAAGTAATGTCAGAATAGTTGAAACTCGCTGAGTCTGAGAGCATATCATCGTCAGCGATGGGACTGATTGGAACTTAAGGATAAGTATGGAGAACTCTAATAGTCAATTTGACTGGCTTTAACACAATTCACACCTCATGACACTGTTTCAAATGCAAAATTGCAGATTTGTTTACCACATATCAAAACTGGATTAATTTCAAGTAATTGTTCTGTTATTCTGAAGTGTTCCTTTTGGACTGTGATCAATGGTTTTAGAGATTAGGAAGCTGACGACAATGTTGTAGCTGTAGGACCAACACGGGACCTATGTTGAATCTTACATAAATCATTAAAGACCTGTTTGTTTCACACATAGACATCCTTAGAACACCACAGTGTCTTCTTCCTAAGCTGTTGTCCCCCCCACCCCTGAGACTGCACTTTGTGGGGATAAAGCATATTGCTTGGTAGTTACAGTTGTTCACCTGGCCCCTACAGGGAGCTATTTCACAAACCACAATCATCGAATACAGCCCAGCCAAAAAACAATGGTTTCTAAATGAAGGAAATCCCTGGTGATCTTCTACATCCTGGGTGCACTGAAAAGAGAATTTATAAAGTAATATGAAATATGAGCTATATTCAGCTATGCTGTCATGTTGACAGTGACTGTACAAAGTGAACTTTTGTAAATATGTTTACTGTTTGTTTTCATTCTTAATATTGCTACTAGATGACAATTACCAATAAAAATAGGTATGAATGACCGTATTTGTGTTTGCTGTTTAACTTATTTCTCAGTTTAAATATATATTAATTTGACTTCATATGTAGGTAAACTTGGTAAGATTTCATGGATAAAGTTAATCTTTCCATTTGATATTGCAGCAAATCATTATTTTACAGACAGAGATAAGCTCTGCTATATTTAAGACCTTTTTTCTTAAAATATAGATTTAACGCGCACATGTGTAACGCCACACGATGCGTCAAATCCATACAGGACGCATGCGTTCTAGCGTCGAAAGATTAAACCATTACGTGCGCATCCACTACGCATTTTGCGCAGAGTCGTATTCCCGGATGAGGATTGGTTGAAATTACATTCCATGCAGGAAGACAACGTTGAATCCTTAAATCCCTCAAACACGGCAAGTAACATCGACTGGAGAAGAGGGCATTACCTTGCGTTTAAAGCACTCACGGCGTCTCTAATATTTGGGTAAGTAGTTCACGCATGCTCTTTATATTACAGCCATAGACTGAGTTTTAGAAGGCGGTGTTTACCATATAAGGGATTAAAAAAGCGTGATGACGGAGCAAGCTAACGGTACAGCATGGCATGCTACTATAAACGTTAAATGCTTCTTGGATAGCTGCTCAGTCGGAAAGACATACACAAGCCATAAGTTTTTTTTGTTTTTTTTTTCATAAATGTCTGAGATGTAATGCAATATAATATGCTCATGAGGCAATCGTACATAAACCACAAGTCTATCACGTTAAACTTGTCCCTATTTGCATGTCCTGAGAGAATTTTTTTTTTTTTGCAATTACATTCTCTAATTTAAAATATCGAATTGAGTGAATTCAAATTTCCTTATGTTAATTAAATGTTTTCATTTTTTATTTAACCCTTTTTTTTGATAATGTCTCAGGTAAGATGGTCAGGTTGGACCTTGGTGATGTAGTTCTGCGCAGGATGCAGGATAAGGACATTGATGCTGTAAAGGCTCTCATCAAGGTGCGATTCAACATCACATCCCTCATGGGCTATGTAGGGCCATACAGGGCCAATATTGAAGAAGTTTGTTGAGTTTTTCTTTTTATGGCCTCCTCTCATTCTATCTTTGTTTGCAGGAAGGATGTGAGGGAACGGAGAACCGCCTGATTCTTTACCTTCTGACTCGTTCGTTCGCTCTTCTCATGCTGGCCATCCTCTCCTCCATCCTCCGCTGTGTGCTGAACTCTTTTATCATGGCCTTGGTCACTCCCGTCTTCATCTTCATTATCTACCTCAAACTCACCATACCGCGGTCGGTGGGCATCTTGGGCTCCAGCAGGCCATACTGGGACTACATGGGCAGCTGTTACCATGCAGACACCAAGCCAGATCTACCCAATCCTCACACTGGCAGAGCCAAACTGGAGAAAACCAGACAGCGTAAAAAACCCAAAGAAAAGGAGAAGGACAAGACGAACGAGAGAGAACAGGTGGATGAGGATGAGCTGAAGGAGAGGGCGAAGGTTGCTGGAGAGGTGTGGGTGGCGGACTCTGATGGGGATATTATGGGATGCGTGGCTAGAGACGGTTGGAGTCGGGACGGTGTATGCAGGATCTGCAGGCTGGTGGTTCAGAGTTGGTACCGCAGAGAGGGACTGGGCAGACTGCTGGTGCAGGGACTGGAGTCCAGAACAAAGCAGAGTGGCATACGGCGGGTCTATGCCCATGTGCCATTTCCATCCAAAGTGGGAGAAGCTTTCTTCAGGAGGCTGGGTTATCGCCTGCAGGGTGAGACTGCAGGGACTGAAGGAGAGGATGATGATTATGAAGAGCCAGAGAAGGGTTGTTTGGGTTTCCCTTTAACTAAAGTGTTTGTTAAGGATCTATAAGACACATTGAAACAAGAACGAAAGGCTTTATTTGCTAGAGAAGGCAACACATAATTTAAGGACTATTCTGGGTTCAATACACATTAAGCTCAATAAACATGGTGTAATGTTAATGGTGACCGCAACAAATAATTTTTGAGATTTAAAATAAAAAAAGGAAATAATTTTTTTAACTTGTGTATGATTTGTGCTGTAATTCTGTTTAAATAATAATTTTACAGCCTTTCATAGTTTATGGAGTTATATTGTCATGGCAGTGAAGTTGTAAAATTAAGTAACATGCATATTGTTTACATCTTGTGGCTATACTTTTGAAACAGTGAGTATTTTAGTGTTTACTGAGTATTTTACCATTGGCTCCATTGTAAGTGCCTTACTGTAACCCAGATTTTTGCTTTTTTTTTTTTAAGTCATGAAACAGAAGTAGCGACATCTTTTCTTCTGTATTACAATGTATATCCGAGTGTAACAGATCGAAAATGAAAACATTTAGGGGACTTGTTAGTTCCTTTTGAATAGGATTACTTCACAATTAAAACCATAACATGCATTTAGAAAATGGATCGTGTAATGTCAACTTTAAAGACATTTCAACTTGTCCCTTGTTTTTTGTGGTAATCAGCATTATGTGCTGTTGATTGAGCTTAACTCATCTTAAATCTGGAATATTCCTTTAAAAAAAGCTTCGATTTCCGATTCTTAAAAGGATTAGTGCTTTTTCACATTGTCCCAGTGAACCACTGACACCAGGAACCTCTCTGGCTTTGCCACTATACATAACATCTTATAAAAATCACTTATATTGTTGCGTAAGAGCATTTTAATGTTTTTGAACATTACAGAAATCATCTCTGGGTTTCAAAGCCTGAGCCATGAAGCTGTTAGATAAGCCTAAGGCTGAAAGGACAATCAGTCATCTGACTTATTGTTTATAGCATGGATTTTTTAAAGAAATGGACAAAGATAGTGATCTACATGTGTTTATCTTATTTATTCATCTTATTTATCATGTTGTATTTATGAGTGAATTTGAGGGTTTTTGTGAAAACATTTTGTATGTTTCCCTTGACTGCCGATGAATAAGCTTTTTTAAAGTATAAATAAAAGTTTTGTCCCTCAGGTTTCTCATGCCATTCAATTATGCTAAAAACTCTTTTAATTAAGCAGTGTACTAGTGAATGTATATGTCCTCCGTGTGGACCTTTTGATGTGTTTCTACCAAGCATGGTTATCTCTTTTTCTGCTTCACTGATCTTTCTGTACCAATATATCTGTGGTTTTGCTGCACTGAAATGCTCTGATAGATTTTACCAGAAGCAAACCTAGGAACAACACGATACAAACTCATTGCAAATTGAGTTCAATCTCTCATATCCAGCCTGTTTGCTTTAAATTTGCTGCAAAAGGCATTGCAAGTACAGTTAATTCCCGTATGCTGCTCTAAATTTGTGTGGGTGGATACAGTTTAGTGATGCTGGAGTGTATTTGAAACTAAGAGCTGCTCATGCTGTGTGGTTAGCTTAAAACACCAGCTATACCTTAACCACTCACACTACTACCCAACAGCACCTAAGGCTGTCATTCACCACCGGATGTTTATACAGTTCACTGTGTGGTTGAGTTGATGCTCACCTGCAACAGAAAGCTGCACTGTCACTGTTAAGGCTTTCACTACTAACTTACCCAAAACATTTAACTATTGTTGAGAAACCACACTCTTGTGAAAAAGGACACTTTAGCATACTTTTAAAAAGAATGCTTATGGTAACAATAGAATATACTGAAGTGCAAACTGAATGCAATGTTTTCAGACACTTGACTACATATTAATTGCAACTAAACGTAAATGTATTATAGTTTCAATTTATATTAAATGCAGTCAGCTGAATGTTTGAGGGCTTTTTGACTCCCATAAGTTAGGGGTAGGGCTAGTTCACCTAAAAACAAAAATTCTGTCATCATTTACTCACCCCCCACTTGTTACTATCTTGGATTAGATTGATTCTTCTGTTCAGGACGGAAGATATTTTGAAGAATGCTGAAGGTAGCCAGTAACTCAAGGGCTACCGTCAACTGTTTGGTTACCAACATTCTTCAAAATATCTGCTTTTGTTTTCAACAGAAGAAATAAAATCATACAGATTGGGAAGTAGAGGGTGAGTACAGAATTGATGACAGAATTTTAACTCTATTTTGAACAATTTAGAATGTTGAACTCTATTTTTAGTACATTTTACATGTAATTTAATAATTACCTACTAAAACTTAAATTTAGTATGTTTAAAATATATAAACTTTAAATGTAATCACTACAGTTAAAATTACAATCAAGTACTTTACATGTGCTTTAGTATGTTAGACAATACGTCAAAACAAGTGCACTTATTTAATGAATGCCAAAAGATTATTAAAACAATCATTTAAAATGTACTTTAAAGTAAAACTTTATGTTCATGGTCATGAAAGTGTACTATGTATATTTAAATGACCTTTTTCATTAATTTTATATTATCTTTAAGTTCAGTTTTTTTATATATACAGTATATACTTTTTTAATAGTTGAAGTATATTACAAGTGTACATTCAATACAATCAAGCACACTTATATCTGCAATCTGGGACTTTTACCTATTAAAGCTAAAGAGATTACGGAACTAACTAAACAACTTAAAGTAGTAAACGTGCTAAATATGTAGGCCTGTTGTACTCATTTTGCTGGTTTTGGTATTACTTTCCTGTAGCCAGTATTATGCATGTCTAGGTTTAAATACAGTTTCAGGATGATTTGAATTTCTACCTGAAACTTTTTACGTTTTATCAGACCTCTTCAGTGTACTCACATTGAGGTATATAAATGAATCCACTACTAGAAGAACCCTTAACCCCATTTTTTCCTCAGACAGTGTCGAGTCTTTGTCATGCACAACTCGAATGTAAAAACCTGTTTTTGTACCAGCCACTAACTTTTCATGGGCTGCAATTATGTTAGTCAACTAATGAGCACAATTACTTCATCTTTCCTTTTGGTAGCTTTGCAAGTCATAGTGGCGGGTTTGTTGTGGAGGAGCTTTTGTTATAATGTACAGAGCTGCTCAGGCAATTGAACACCTGCTACTATATCCCTCTAACCGATGTGTAACTATTATTGTCTCCA